TCCTCTAAACGCCTCAATGGCTTCCTGGTGTAATCAGAACAAATTCCCAGCTCCTCCAGGCGGTCGAGACAGCCTTCTCCTCGGGCTGGCCTTTCTTCCCATTCCCCCTCGCCCACCCGGTGCCCTCCTGCCCCTTGACCACCAGATCCCAGGCCCAGGGGCCTTCCGAACACATTTAATAATGTGTTCTAGAGCCCGGGCTCCGGATCGCTCTTCCCTGGGTGGCTGAGCTGCCCTCTTCCTTCAGGCACCACACAAATGCCGCCACACCAGAAGTCTTTTATGCTTTCTCGCAAAACCTAGCTGATTCTTCTTCGTGGCACTTCTCATAACTTATAATTAACATTTTTGTGATTATCTGTGTAAGAGCTACCTCCCCCAGTAAACTGTTATCTCCAGACACCACACATATTTCGTTTGCAGTCTAAGCCCAGAAGGAAAGACGGAGAGAAGCAAGGGAAAGAGCTCCACCACTTTCCTCAACTCAATTCCACTCAGCTTCTAGCTGGCAACAATTCCTCCCAGATCCTAATAGAAAGGTGCCAGTGTTAGCTTTTGGCCAACTTCAGGTAAAGGAGATGCTGGGTACAGGAGGTGGCGTCTGGTCTGAGCGAGTTCCACAGGAATGCGGCAGAGATTGGGGGAGACAGAGCAAGGGTGGAGTGACTGGCTGTGAATTGAGAACAGGTCTCATTTGAGGGGCCCACAAAACAACAAGGCTTCATATTTCCCAAGAAATTACCCTCCATGCTGCAATAACCCTAGCCTCTCTGCCACCCCTTGCATTATGCCAAAAATCATGTATGTAGGCGCCCAATTAATATCTCATGACCAGATGAATGAATGATGCATGGCACACCTCAATGACAGCAGTTGTCTTCTCTGAGAATGCTTCTTGAGTCTGAAATCCAGCAAGACCTGGTTAGAGACCTACCTCCCTGAAGCTTTTCTTATCTGGCAGTAGCACAAATGGGAATGGGAAAAGTAGCACTTTCAAGGAATTTTACCTTTGAACCTTTGACTGTTCTCAGACTGTTTTCTGTCTAATCTTATCTTTCCGATTAAACATAAAGTCCTCAAGAGCAGGACTCCTCCTTCCCCTTCCCTTCCTTTTATTTATTTGTTTGTTTGTTTGTTTTTGTTTTGGTGCTCCAAATATCCTATAGAGCAGGTGTTTAATTTCTAGGAAAAGGAGTGGGGGAGGGAAGGAAGGAAACCTAACCAGGAAGATAGCTCACTTAGGTAAGAACTTGGTTTAGCTGACCTCTACAATCCCACTTCTCCATCCTTATTTTTTTTTAATAATCCCTTTTAAATCTAAAATGTCCTGAAAAGACTTAATTGAGTTAATAAATAAGCTTTTACTCCAAGGCTTTACATTTCAGCAACAGACGATAGTCTACTACTACTTAACACAAGTACACAAAGGCATTAATTTCCACCACTCTCTTTTCTCCAACAGATCAGATATTCGGATTCTCTTTGGTGCAACGTAGCAAATCAGACACTAAAAGAGCACCAGCTACTTTTCATACACAAAGAAACACTACTGTCATTTCTACCTTAATATTTCTGGATCTTAAAAGCCCTCAAATCCATCCTCTTCTTTAAATCCCCATCCCTGCTTTCTGGTCTAATCTTCTGTCCCTTGCAAACAGTCCCAATTGGTTTTCTTTCATCTACACTTACCCTTCTCGGTACATTCCACTAAAAATAGCCAGTGTCCAAGCTGCTTATGGCATTTGCCTCCTCAGAATCCCTTGATTGCTGTCCTTGCACATTTATGAAGAGCTTCAAGGCTTGGCATGGTCTGGGGCTGACCACGTTGCCAGCTTCATTTCACCCCAACCTCTCTCATTCTTGTGGTTCCTATGGGCCCCGCCACAGGAACTTCCTTTCATTGCTCACACATACCTTGCTTCCTCTAGCTCCCAGGCTTCTGTCCAGGGCTTCTCCCTTCCTCAGCCCAAAAGCTACTTACTTCCTAGGGAAGCCATTCTTGAGCCATACAAGACAACACAACTTCCCTCCTCCATTATACACACACCCACTCAGCACTACATGCTTTTCCTTCACAGTACTTAGGACATTTGCTATTATGAATTCATTCGTATAATTACTTGTATAATGCCTTGCCCTCCCAATCAGTCTAAAAACTGTAAGGATAAAAACTGTGTTTTGTTCACCATTATGTACCCCTAGTGCCTAAATAGTACCTGGCATGTAGCAGATATTTAATAACTGTCTGACAAATGAGTGCCATCTGCAATAGATATTAATAAGATGGATGTCTTTTTTTCTCTTTTTAATCTAAGCCTACCCAAGCCAATACTTCAATGAATTGAATTTGAGGGAAAGGGGAAATTAGGTTGGATATTCCTCTTCAAATAAAAGAATGATAAATCAGCCCAAAGTTACCCGTACACTTATTTCCTGTAAGTCTACATAAATTGCTTGCACACTAATCACATTTCCCCCCAAACAACTGAAAGCAATTCAATAAGCTCTTGCTCAAATGATCTGGGCCTGCTCATGGGTTTTTGTTTTGTAAATAATGCACTTCATTTTTACAAGTGAAGAAATAGTCTAGATATTTAACACTCCTCAAACGTAGGAGGGGAAGCAATTTGAGATAAAGAGCAAGGAAAGACACAATATTTTAGTTTGTAAAATCAGTTTATTTACAATTTGGTATTTTCAAATTGTATTTGGAATTTTAGGTTTTATATATTTCCCTGGCAGGCATTGTTTTAAATATGGAGGCAAAGGATATGACACCTGAGTAAGTTTGAATTTAAGGGATTTACCTGCTGCTAGTCAGTAAAACTTAAATTTTAATCCCTGAGAATCAGTGGAGTCAAAAATATTCTCACATTCAAATGTAAAAAGCATATTTTAAGAAATAAAGCTACTATGATTAACCTCCCCACATACGGCACTATAAGAAGTCCCTCTTTCGCAAATTAACTGAGGGGTGTGTGGATGTGCATTTTAGTTTTGGGGTATACCTACAGAGAGGCGAAGATGGCCTAGTCGTTCTTTTTTCTTAGTTTCTCCCCTTTTAAAAAATATTCCTGGATATGGATACATGATTCATTCAAATAAAAGTAATGCCCACTGCTAGCTCAAATATACCCCTTCTAAATTTGTGTGTAATGTATAGTTAGCGATTTTCCTTCACTGTCCAAGACCCAATTCTCTACCTGATTGCAATCTGAAGTCCATACTGTTTTTGCAAAGTCGCTTTGGAGCAAAGTCACTTTAGTTTCCTCCCATGTGAAGTGAGGATAATTATAGTTCATAGGGATGAATAAGACTGAACTCGCATGCATACACCACCATGGGATCTGCGTAGCTTTCTTCTTAAGGAGCAACGCTCTGGAACACGCGGTAGTTACAATACATCCTGCTGCTCCTTATTACAGATGACTAGTTAATACCCCTCAAAGATCGGCTTTCTTCAAAGGAGTGAATATTAATTCATTAGTTTGCTCATTAAACTTCCTCGAGATGCAAAGGAATGGCATTTATGCCCCCCGGCCCAGATATGAAAAGTAGCAAAGATATTAAAGATGTGACCACAGTGAAACAGTTAAGTCAAACCAAATAAACCAAAGAATCTGCAGTAATATGCAATTTTCTTATGTGGGTGCAACACACTGGCAGTCATTTTTCATTCGGGGTCGTGTTAAATATCACTAATGACAAGTGTTTATTTGCCTAATGGCCCAAAGGAAATGCAGTGCAATTCAAAATGTGAAAAACAACAATGAAACAAAGCCACAAATACCCTTTCTTCAATTGTCTCTTCACACTCTGTCCAAAACAGAAAATAATCAAGCTAACCTCTTTCTCTAAAAGACCAATACCAATGCCAGCTAGAGACATTCTTAAGTAATAGTTTAAAGGCAACATTTAAGTTCCAAGAATATTTGTTTGTAAGTTGCTGATTCCAAAAGGGAGAGCATTTCAGTCAAACAGAGCACAGTATTATCTGATCTGAGGGGAGTCAGATCTGAACAATCTACTTTAAATTGCTGCTTTAACCTCAACTTTCAATGTTATACCTAATGTGCGTGTCTTAAAAATATATTTCTAAATATATAGGATTTCTTGGTTGGTATTTTTTTACTTGGTAGAACTCTGAGTACCAAGAGAAGCAGTAGTGAAAGTCTATGACAGAGGCCAAGAGGAGACCACCAATTTCCAAACTGTGGGTTTGGAAATTCATGTTATATATGTCCACGGCAGAGAGATGTACAAGACCACATGTGGGTTTGGGAAAAACAGTGTGTTCTTGTTTTAGCAAATCCCACTTCTGCTGCAGGAAGCCACACTAAGTCATTCTTCGGCCGTTGGTGGCAGGAGGGGTGTAAATAAAAATGTGAGGTAGTTCTTTCCACAAGAAGGAAATATTTGTCTACATAATGTCTCTGCAATGTCTGACAAATTACTAGAGCATCTGCTTGCTGTCTATCTGTTAAGTAAACTCTTAGCTTGGCATTAGCTTGACAAATCATGAGCTCGATGCCGTTCACAGGCCTTACTTTCTAATCCAGCTATGACAGACAGAGACACTAAAACCCCCAAAAATGTGAACCATAGAGACCACCGAAAGTATGAAAACTGCAAAAGCATAAGCGTGGAAAAGCATATGGGGCAGCTGGCAAGAGCACGTAACTTAACAGAACTGTGTATAGAAAGAATGAAGACTGGTGGGGGCTGATTCATAGACTCTGCTCCCACAGCTTAGCTGTCACTTTGAAGGTCAAAAAAAAAAAAAAAAAGGTTGAAGTTCTAGCAACATAGAGAACGTGGCAAAGGCTACATACAGGAAAATTAACATGGAAACATTAAGAACAAAGGAAAAAGAGTATCCTGAGAAAAGCAAGAGTTGCCTATGAAAACTTTATAGTCTTTCTTACTTGGAATTTGCAAACCTTTGTATGGAATAAGAAATCAATTATTGCTGAAAATATGTGCATTCTAAACTCTGTCTAGGCTACCAGCCCAAGAATACCAGAAATAGGTCAGGAGTAAAATTATAGTTAGAAAAGGGGAGAAAAAGTAAGGTAGGACATTAAAATTTTATTCTGAAATTATCTCTGGCCACGACAATAAAATTTAACAAATATTCACTGAACAGTCTTACTCCTGTGATCAGCTGTACAACACATACAGTATCATAGAACTGGCCACTAGGATTAAAATCCACTAGAACATATTTCATGTGAAGTGGCAACAGCAGCATCTCACAGAAATTTTTACATACATATATACACAGTCCACATTCAACCATTTTCACATATTTTCAGTACACACAGTTGCAGCATATTACAGTCACGTGTCTAAGTTGTTGCTCGATAAAAACCCAAGCCACTGCCTAGACATAACTGTAGCAGTTGAGCTGAGTATAATTACAATTCATTTTATATGTGTCCATAGCAGAGAGATGTACAAGCCCCTAAGAAACAGAGTTCACAAATACTGTTTTTTAAAATGCTACCACAGCATTATGTTGGGCAATATTAAAACCTTTGCCGACCAAATCAGTTTTTCTTTTTAAAAAGTCTTCTGCTTACCAGAAATATCGATGAAAAAAATTACAAAAATGAATGTCCTCTTTAAAATAATTCACACTGTTAAGATTCCAATATGGCCCAATGCTACTGATGCCTAAAGTGTTCCTAACATTCTGACGGAGTCCTTTAACATGACTCCAAACCATCCAGTAAGTTTAAAAGTGGCTTAAGTGCCTTGCACCCAAATTGTAAAAATCCCTGGCCATCCTTACTAGAGCCAGGCACATAGAAAAGGAATGCACTTTGGTTCATACCAAATGCCCTGGGATTAATCACACTATAAAATTAAATGGTCTGAGGTAAATTTTTACAAATACAGTTGATTTTTGTCTAGTGTTAGCATAACAAAAGAAAATATCATTTAGAAAATCAGTCTGATGTTAAGATACAACAAAGACCATCTTTAACCCCTTAAACATAGGAATTCCCTGTGTAACTAAGCAATGGTTACTTTTTTCAGTGCCTGGTGATGATTCACGCCTTATGGTTTCTATTAAGGCCTATAAGTAACTGGATATTTAAGACAGATGTATCTTTGCAGAGGTGGGTTCCATCCTTACTGCCCAGTATTCAAAGAGTTAAAGAGGCCAAAAAATGCATGCCCTACAACATGGCATTCAGAACAAAAGGCACATTGTTAACACTAAGGGCACAATTTCTCCTCTACTGTTAATCTACACTGTCTTGCATCACTCTGTTGTTCCACTGTTGTAGCAATACACTTACGTGGTAATGCACACTCTGGTGGTGCAAGAAACGGAGCCAGATGAGACTGCAACCAAAGACAAGACGACACTGTGCTATTCCTAAACCTGAAAACAGCTCAGACATCCCTAGACAATGGTAACCTGTGAGACCAAGGACTGTTTCCAAGCCAACTTCCAGTAGCCTATCAGAGCCCTTCATTTATTTTTGTTTTAAAATCACAAAGATGCAAAATTGTTCTCCTTGATATTACGAGCAAGCTAGAATTTTTGAAAAGCAGCTCTATCACTAAACACTGAATGGGGTGGCTCTTGTGAATAAATTCCACTGTATTTAGGAGAGGGCAGGGGGAGCCCCATAGCGCTGCACATTATAGTTTGGCTTAAAAGTTTCCGGTTACATTTGTGAGTAAAGAGAGTCACAAATGTTTCGTTGGCATCTTATGAACCAGTTTTGTGTGGCGGGGGAAAGACAAACAGTATTAGTCCATTTATAAGTTTTTACATATATAATAATTTCAGAGGGAAATTCTTATTAATGGCAGGCTCAGGTTCATATAGTTCAACCTAACTGTGGAAATGAGACTGAATATGGAAAAGGAGTATTGCAAGGGGAAAAGAGTCTTTATGTTTTTGTTTATCTCAGTGACCTAAAGAGGCTAACCATCTTAAGAGGCTTGTGGGTTTACAAAGCCATCGCACCAAGTCTTACATTTCTTGCCTTTAAAGCTAAAATTTTAATAATAAATACATAATCTTTAAATTCTGTAAGCCAGTGATTGAGGATATCATCACATGAGCATCATTTAAAATGCAATTTACTAACACATTGCGCTTCCACAGATTACACAGAAATGTGTACAATATGGTAAAGAATTTGCCTAAGGAGAAGAAGCTATAATATTTTTAAATACAGAAGTAAATTAATTTACCAGTAACACCCTTAAATAGAAAAGCAAATATCAACATCACTATCTTATTAATAAGCTAATCTTATTACTGTTTTTTGGCAAATCTCTGTAGTATTTCCTGAGCATTTTTCTCCACCATCAACTGACAAAGCCTCAAGATAAGTAAAGTGTTTTGTTCAAAACTACTTTATTTTTAAAGTAAGAGAAACTGTAGGATTAATACTAAAAAAAAAACCTCAAAAAACCAAAAACTTAACCGGAAACTTTCTTGGCCTCACTGGGGACCATGCTTTAAGTACTTGTAAATCAGTTTACAGGCAATACAATAATATCTGTGCATATAAAAGAGTATTTATCTTAACTTATACTACCCAAACCTATTTCCAAACAGGCAGAAATCTTTCTATATTAAATTGCACATACTAAAAAATTTTCACGTGCCTTGCAATTGATATATATCACTGCTCATACATTAGTGATAAAATACTGAAATTTCCACTGTGAAAATAATTATATTCAGAGAAGAAAATATTCTTTTACTTTTAACTCTCAGTTACTTTTCCAGGTAAAGTGTCATTCTCACAAAAACAATCAGTGCAATCCAAAAAAAGGTAAAATAGAGGAATGCAATTTCTGTGGTTCTTCTAATGGTACAAAGAATCAATCAAACCATTTAACTTGAGGTTGAACTTTTCCTCCTTTAAATTTGGTGTTAAAATTGGCCTTACTGAATAGCCACAATAACGTCTGCTCATCAAGAGGATTTTCAACCCTCTCTTTTTTTTTTTTAAAGAAACAGTTGATACTTTCCCAGGCTAAGAGGACCTTACAGTGGTACCTAGAAAGTGGGAACTCATGCTAATCTATTAAACCTTCTTTGGAATTTGGAAATCCCCACCTTATGTAGCTAGGCTGCTGTTCTTTAAATTGGAATATGAAACGATGGTCATAATCACAGCTGAAATGTCTCTTTTCCATATTAACAGTCTAGGATATCTATTTGAAGAAGAAAAAAAAAAACCCTAATGCAAGCAACAGATGTGTGGTAAAAGAGTAACGGAGGGGAAAAGCAAAGAGAAGGGAGAAGCAGTTCACGGAATACATGTCTAAATTTAGGTGCAAGACCAATTCTGTAATATGAGGCTTCTTTACAAAACAGCTCGCTGATCCTATTAGAAGATTTGGAGGAACACACGCTTTTCCATTTATCCACCAGGTCTGGTTGGCCAGCTTTGAAAATGTCAGAATGCTAACTGGTCACTTCAACCTTGAGGATTTTATTGTGTTTGAGCATGACTTCAGGAGAAAAAAAAAATCTCTAAGGTGCAGTTTTTCTTGGAATATCATTTTCATCCTGACCATTCCCCTCCCACCGAAACTACCACCCAGATAACCTAGAGACGACAGAAGCAGGACATGCTGCACCTGCGCATGAACCCAGAGCATGGGGAGAGCAGGGGGGCCTTTGGGGGCAATCACCGTGGGGAGAATACGCTATGAACCATAAAAACATAGTGAATGTCTTCGACACCAATCTGTAAATGCGTGGCAGTCATGAAGTAATCAATGGCCTGCCACTGATGTTTATTACGCTGCCACACCAAATACAGTAAGGCTCATCGTACGTTTAGAACACAAAAAGTTTCAGAAAGTATAAAAACTTAAAGCATTGTCCCCATGTATTTTATAAAAACAAAACAAACAACTTTCTTACATTAAAATAAGTGCTGAAGAGATACAAATGAGTTGAGTTATTGAGCAAATAAAAACAGGTCTGAGCTACTCCTTTCCAACCCAGTAAGGCTCAGCAACATCGTATGTATCTTTCAGATTACCAGCATCAGGGGACTCAGCTCAGCTAACAAGTTTTGGCAAGACTGTCCTCTGCTGAATATTCCCATTGGCATCTGTCATCTGTGCCAAATTAGTCCTCAGTTTGGAAGCGGAGCTGGAAGGTGGAGGTAACTTGGAAATGGAAGTGATAGCACCAGTGCTCTCAGTTATCCTTTTCACTGCCGTCTTCTCCCCCGCTGGAGGCTTTGGCAACCGCCTCCTCAGCCAGGGATGCCGTAACGCCTGGCCAGGGGTCATGCGGACCACAGGATCCCATTCTAAACACTGTTTCAAGAAGTCAAGGAAAAGGGGATCGTCGCAGCCCTTCAGAGCATTCCCCCACTCTCTGCTCTCTGGAGGGCCCCTCAGTTTCCCCCTCCGGGAACGGCCTCCGTTGAGAACCACAGAGCCGTCTGAGAGAGTCGTGACAGTGCAGTAACGGGGATAACCCTTGGAGCTCACGAAATTTTTGGCTCGTTTAGATGCATCCAGCAGTTTCTGGGAGGGCATGCCCAGCAGTTCGATCATACAGGCCAGCTGGTCGCCTTCGTCTTCCCCAGGCAAAAGGGGGTACCCGGTCAGGAGCTCGGCCAAAATGCAGCCCAGGCTCCACATATCGATGGGCATGCCGTACCTGGCGCCAAGGATCACTTCCGGAGCCCGGTAAAAACGGGACTGAATGTACGTGTAGACACGCTGATGCTCATAACAACTGGAGCCAAAATCAATCACTTTAATACCACTCCTACCCTGCTGCTTTAATAAAATGTTCTCGGGCTTAAGGTCACAGTGAATTATTCTGTTTTTGTGCAAAGCATCCAAGCACTGCAGAATGGAGTGGGCAAACTTGCGAACCAAAGGCAGGCTGAAGCCCTGAAATTTATTCTTCTTGATGAGCTCATAGAGGTTCATGCTCAGCAGCTCGAACGTCATGCAGATATGGTTGCGGAAGGTGAAATTCTCCAGCATGTGGATGACGTTCATGGTGTTGTCCTTGTCCTGCTTCCGCAGGTGTTCCAGGATCCGGATCTCCTCGGCAGCCTGCCGGTGGAAGCGCTTCTCATTCCGCACCATCTTCAGGGCCACATGCTGGTGGACTTTGTGGTCATAGGCCTTGACCACCTGTCCAAAGCTCCCCTTCCCAATGACCTTGAGGACCTCGTACCTGTAAGCCACATGATCGTGGGGCACCTGCACGTACGATCCCTGGTCATCATCATAGCCTCCGTTGTTGGGCCCACCTGTCATGCCCTGGCGCTTCTTTGCATTTGGACCCAAGAAGTATATTTCAGGGTAGCTGAAAATCTCATGGTGTTCGAAGGTGGTTAGTTTTTGCATGTATTGCTTCATTGCTTGTTCAGGCGTCATGGGGGTGGCTTTCACCTTCCCCAGGCCTTCCACAGACTTCAGAGAGGTGGAGCTCCCCTGTCGTCGATGGATGCTCTCCAGCTGCCGCTCTGGAACCACCGGCAATCCCGTTTTGCCCACGGTTGTAAGCCCATTTGGTTGTGTCGTGAGCACTGTCCGCTTGTTACTGTTATCCTCAAACAGCTGCTGCACCTGGATCTGTCCGTGGCTGTGGCTGCCGACATGGAGGTGATCATTCATTGTGTGCTTACTGCCACTAATCTGAAATGCAGAAAGGAAACATGAATAGAATGGAAGAGGTCTGTCTATTCAAATGGGGTATGTTATGAGTCCGCCCTTACCCCCGCCACTATCCAATCCAGTTTGGTTTGAATTTACAGTCAGCATCAGGTTTACTAAACGGAAAGCTGTGCAACCATGAGGGACCATGGGAACACCCAGACAGGAACAGTGGATATGATGCTGACAGCCTCTGACAAAATAAAGGAAAAAGAAGGTTAGCTGGCTGGGGAAGGCTCCAAAACTTGGGATCCTGACGAAAGGACCCCATAAATGCTGCACCCACCAGATGAGCAGTTTGCAATGCCTATTACGGGTCCTTAGAATAAGTTCCCCATGGAGGCCCTCATTCGATACCTAATATTTAGCACAGGTCCTGGCATATCATAGGTGTTCCACTCAATCCACACTTGATATCAAAATGAAATAGGATACAGAAAAAGCATGTGCACACAGACTCTCTCCGGGCCCCACCTCCCCTAGCTAATAGCTCCCTTATTAACATAGGGCAGGAACCACGTCTGTCTTGTTCACTGCTCTTTCTCCAATGTTTAGCTAGCTCTGTTCTGAAAACACTAGTATCTTCATTCTCAGTCTCCAGTACTTGGAAATCTAACCGATGACACCTAAGAAAATGCATGATCCCGTGGCAAAAAAACCTACACTTTTATGCTTGACAGATTCCCGTGTAGATATGCATTGCAGCATCTAGTAAACCCCCAACCTATTTTTAAAAGTTTCCGGGCTTCACTGACTGTGATGACCATTTAAGGCCATTCAGCCCAACCAACCACACTCTCTTTTGGGCCTTCCTTTGGTCCATGGCTCAGCTCTCTTAAGACGCGTATTTCTCTGGGCTGCTGGGATACTCAGCTTTCCAACAAGGAATACAAAGTAGCGATTTCTATTTTCAGGCACACATGCCATCCCTGAACATTCCTGTCTAAACAAAACTAATAGTCCAAGCCAACCTCCCTCCCCCTCTACTGAGAATCTATGTGAGATTTCTTCCTTTTTGCATTATTATTGCAAAGAGGTGAGGGGTGCGAGAGGACTAACAGCCAGCACACCCCCTCTCCCAGGTAGGAATTTTTGCCGTCTTAGACAACCAGCCACAAGTCTTAAAGCGTCCTGGTAGGTGATTTTTATATGAAATCTTAAAGATCAATTAGTCATTCACAATCCGTCTCATTCATGCCACCACTGTTAGCTGACGTTTAGCCACGTAAGTGGAAGAGGCCCTGCCCTCTAGAAGCTTACAGTCTTCTAGCTGACATCCTTTACCATCAGCATTGTTCTCTATTATCTCCTCCAAAGTCCTGCCCTTTGGGCTTTATGTGCCACTGCAAGCACAGAGGTGCTCTGCACATGTAACACAATAATCCAGGCTATGGTTTGGGACCACCTAGATTAGAAAATGAAACCCCAAGACCTTCTTACCTAGCAGACCAAGACCTTCAAATTTTCTTTAACTGACACATGGCATGCACAGTGACTATCTAAGGAGTGAGATTTCTCTCTCTGCATTCTTCTACAACGAAGTAGGATAAAGTGCAGTATTTGGGCATGTCTGAAGTGTGATTTCATAGACTGAGGGATTTTATTTCTCATACAAGTTTCTGGAAGACTTCCAGTTGAACCCTTTTATTAAACACACAGATGATATTCCAAGCTAAGTGAACTTATCTTCTGTAAGGGTAGCAGGACAAGTTATTTTATCCTTGTTCTATGCCATAAAAATTAATTGGGAAAGTCCTGGGTATACATAAAAGTAGTACCGGTTTGCCCACTGCCTTTGTTCCCAAGCCTCACTCTCTGCACCCCTTCTCCCCCGCACTGTGGCCTTTTGAGCACCAGGGAATAAAATGACCTGAAATTAGAAATATACTTCTCCCAGAGAACCATTCCCTTTAGGGCAGCAGAGAGATTTCACGAGAAGTCTCTACATTACCAGGACAATGCATGCTACAAAAAGCACGAAGTTTCATTAGGGACAAAATCGACCTTGAGGCTTTAGGAACTCCTAAAAAGATAGCAAAGGAAATCCTGTTGAGCATTTAAAACTGACTTCAGTTTCTACAACAGCAATTTTAATGTTCTGTATAATTTAAAGTACAATCACAAAAGTTTAGTGACTAACCCTAAAGAGAGCTTGCCAACTAACTTGATCACCTCCTATCTTTCCAACAGTCTTCTCTTGTTCTCCTCTACAATATTAACTATTCATTCACCTACCCCTAGGTTGGTTCATGGATTCCACAGGGTTTAAGCCTCAACCCTTATGACTTTTCATTCCCATAACTCTCCCTGCTTGACGGTGACCACAGTCTACACCTCTAGCTCAGACCTGACCAAGCTATGTCTCCTGAGCTCAAGTCCACACGTCCAACTACAAACCGGCTGCCTTTCCCACAGGCAAATCACACTCAACTCTTGATTTTTCCGCCGAAACAAATCCCTCCTTCCTTAACCCTTAACTTCTGATAAACAAAGGGCTTCACCTCCGCAGTCACACAAGCTGCATACCTAGATATCCTCTTCCATGTCTCCCTCACCTTTCCAGGTCATCCTTCAACCTCATTATTTATATCTACCCCGCCCACACTGCCTCCCCCGACACTCCTGTCATCTTTCACTGGGACAACTGAAGCAGCCTCCTAATGTGACCCCTTGCTCCTAAGTCTAGAATTCCTCAAATTCCTTCTCTCCATAGCACTTCTAGAGTTGCTGTTCAAAAGCATCACTGATACTGCCTTTGCTTTTGCTCAAGGCTCGCAATCACACCCATTTTCATGGATAATACAAGAACTCACAGGCAAGAACACAAGATTCTAAAATGTAGCACCTCCATGACCTGAGTCCTTCCAACGTCATCTACAACTCTCACTGTTCTCTCCACGAGTAACAAAGCTGGATTCCCCAAGACCTGTGGAAACCGCATTGTTTTTACGCTCCCCAGCGTCTGGTGAGGTCATTCTCACAGTGGCTAGGAGACCAGGGATTTTCAATGAGACACGTGGGAAATGAATCCCAGCTCCACCACTGATTAACTGCATTATCTTGGGCAAGGTACTTAATCTTTCTGAACCAGGATCCTTATCTGTAAAAGGAGGGTAACAGAGATACCTCACTGGGGCTCTTAGCAGGATTAAATAAGGTAAAATGTATAAAGTGCTTCATATAGTATTGAGTAAAGAAGAACTATTATGATCCTTTCCTTCCTAACCACATCTAGGCGGTAAACTCCTCATCCACCTTCAATGTCCAGTTCAACTCTGAACCTTCTGCATGGAACTCCCTTTCCCTGCTACTGTGCTGACACATTGTGATACATTTCATTTTACCGTAATTGTTTTAAGCCCCAGCTGGCTGTGAGCAATTTCTGGGCTGGGCACTTCTTATCTTTTTAAGTCCCTAGTAATATAAACCCAAACATACAGTACGCACTGATAAACATCTGTTGAATGGGAAAAGACAGGTCCGTAAAGCCCTGTTAACGCTCACCTCTGAGTTATTCTTGAGGTCTGTCTACCTTTGTACCTTCGTAAGAAAACATGAAGTTAGCGTCCAGGGAACTAGGAATCCTCCCTGGTGACCCAAGTCACAAGACGTTAGGCAGTGCATCAGCAGAGAGTTGGAGGTAAGTGGAAGCACTTAAAAAGCACCTGTAGCAGATACATCAACTAAACTCCTAAAAGCAACGTATGGGATCTTAAAAACTTTCCAGATGTTAAGGAGATTCACATGGCAGGCTCTGGTAAAGAAGGACTTTGCGTCTCAAACACGGTAAAACTCTAAAAATCAAAACCAAACTTGGAAGCATAATTAACTGGTCTATAAAGGGCAGGAGGGCCCTAGAAAAGTCAAAACATTTCCAGATACATGTGCCAGGACTACGTCATAAACCGAAGGATACTAACAACCTCTCACTCTCCCTCAGCCTCCTGAAGCTGAGATTGCGGCTTATTCCCGTTTGCCAGTGTTTTCCTAGCACAGAGCCTGTCCCAATTAAAAATACAGGGGTGGGCAAAAGCAGGCTTACAGCTGTGAGGACATGAAACACACAGTGTATTCTTGTATCATTTATCTGCATTATGTAAACCTTCTGCGGTCCACCTCTGTATACACTGAATGAATGCAACTGTGAGATACCTACAATGCTTGGGTTAAAATGGAGAGAACTACAACAGCCTTTTCTGACCGTGAAATAATTTAGTATTAAAAATTATGTAAGAACAATAGTCTCACCAGTTTAGTAGTTTTAATCTTTTCCAATAATAAAATGGAAAACAGCAGATAGCACAGCAGAAACTGTGCTAACATTTCTGGGTGTTTTAAAACTTCTATGATGTCATCTTAGAAATGTTGTACAGTGTTATGGGAATAAAATGAGTCCAAAAGGACTGGAATTTTAGCTCCTCCTCAAACAACTGATGGTCTGTGTGGCTCTGAGTCAAACGTCTACTTCCTTTTCTTCAAAATATTATTATTATTTTTAATAGGAGTATTCATTCTTCTTTAATTCCAATTATTTCATTAAGGTAAAACTGGTAACAGGAGAATGCTTTAAATATTAAAACAGCTATAAAAGTGACACCACACTAATATTGGGGAAATAAAAAAAATAAGTATATTGATCTCTCCCACGCAACACTGAAAGGAAAAAAAGCTAGTAGAAAATAAGATAGTTATCAGATACACTTTTATGACAGAGAGAAACCAAGTGACTAAGTGTACAACAAATATATCCATGGAGATAGGGAAAAAGAGCAATGGACTAGACTAATTCCAAAGTTAATAATCATTATAATCTTATAATTGTCTGCCTGCTGTATCATTTACAAGGGAAAATATGAGCAGGCTCCTATGATAAGACTGTTTACCTCTTATAAACATCCTCCCCCACCCCCACACACTCATTTTAAAATAGCTCTTCTCAAGTGCAACTGCTGTCAAATTAAAAACTTAGGAAAACCCGAAAGCCATATAGGAAGATGGATCAGCAAAGGTTCTTGCATTTATAATGAAATTAATACAATTTTGTAGAATTAGCAGTGGAAAGTAGTATGTTAAAGCTACATTCTGGGGGGTCTGGGCTTTAGCCCCAGCCTTGATATGACCTGGCCAGGTAATCTTGACCAAACCAGTGAACGTGTCACTTTCCTCATCTGTAAAATGAAGGAGCAGAGCCTGATAAGCACTGTGGTCTTTTTACATTTCCTCACTCCAAGAAATCTGCAAGGTTGTGCCAATAAAATAAAAACTAAACAACAAAACGCCAAATCACGCTTTCAAAACCAAGCCTCTCATGATCACAGCATACTGAAGTTTACAGGTAAGTTAAAAATAGGTAAATCAAATATCACAGCAAAATACAACCACCCCTCATCAGGAGACCTAAGGAACAGCCTCACATTTTTTCATTTTCGATCCACCACAGGCTATTTATTCTTCTAGTGGATGCCTTTTGTTTTCTCTATGCCTATTACATATTTCAATTGCAGAGAGGCTCTGATCAAGCGAAGCCGACTCTTACGAAACTGGAATCCAGATGCAAACCAAATATTTTTTTCCCCAGGTCACACCGAGTCATGTGATTACATTCACACATAGGGAAAAAATGGACGTTATATTTTCCAAATTGTCAGGTGATTCCAAGCAGACAAATAAACCCAAACCCCTTAAAACAATGGCAAGTCCTCAATTAAAATGTCACTGTGACAAGACCATTCAACTGGAAGAAATCACCTGGCCAACTGACAGATTCTCTTCCACCATCAACAGTTCGGCAGAGATTGGATAAACTTCTGTATAATGAATTCTTAGCCCGAGTCTAGATGTTTCAGGAAAGAGAGAGGGAAAGGGAAGAGAGAGAGAAATAACAACAAAACGCTTTCCTATGAAACTTGCGCAAATCTGTTCAGGTCTCAGAGGAGATACTCCACTCTACACTCCAGCTATCCTCGCACAAATTCTCCCCTAATAAACAGGTTTCCCTGCAACACGTTACCCTCAGAGCTGATGATCCTCTCCTAAGCTGGAAAAGGCCTTTTCTACAAAACTGGACTTTCATTTAACAAAGCTAAATCCTTAGCAAGCATGCCTCATACAGAACCATCTTAGGCCGTTCCGCTGGAAGATCCAGTTGGAAATTAGACCTCAGAAACCTTCACGTCTTCCAAGTGCACACCTCCTCTACGCTGGCAGTCACCATCCAAGGACCATCCCCGGGCGCTGAGAAAACGTACACGCCTAAATCAAATCCAGCTGGTCAATCGCTGCAGCCACCAGTCCCACTGGGCTCTCCCCTCGCTCCGCCCTCAGAGGACCTCAGCATGGATCTGGTGCCCTTCCCTTCCCACCTCCAAAGCAAAGCTGGCCCTTTGCTTTTGAATAATATCCAACTGCAGAATCCTACAGCGTGGCTTGTTGTTCTGACAGCTGCTGCGGCTCTTAGTTTTGTTAATGTTAATTACAATTTCTGCTGTGCTCAAACCTGTAGCACTCATAAAACATGCTTCCACACGCTGGGGACAATTGGTGGTGCTCCCTGCTGGCTGGAGACAGGCCTAGGAGGCTCTTTGGGGGATCGATTTTCCGGGCAGGACGGCCTGGCTGTCCCCTAACACACGTCTATAAATACCCACTATACAACGTGGGGGAGGGGGGGTGTTTACCCGGTCAGGGAAAGGCGCTTTGGGAAGCAAGGAAGAAAAAAAGAGGAAAGAGAAGGAAAGCAGCAAGGAGGGAAGTTCTCAGGAATAGGAACGCAGGGGTGGGCGGGCTCCGCAGGGGAAGTGAGGGGCCCATTGCCACGAATCTTCCTTTGTGGCTGCAGATTCGGGCTCGCCCAAGTTACGGAGGGTGGCGTCCAGCAGAAACCACTGGACAGGGGCGTGGAGACACACTTCGACCTCTCTTCTCCGGGAGCCAGAACCCACAAGTCCGGGTGTTTGTGCCCTGGGCCCCTCCCGCACCCCTTACCCCCGGACGCCCCGAACTGGGTCTCACCGTGTGGGCTGTGGCGGCAGCGTTGCTGGCCCGGAGGGGCGGCAGGGCGATCGGGGAGGGAGGGCCAGTCCCCACTCCGCTCCGGGGGGGTCCCACTCCGAGCCCCGGGGAAGCCTGAAGCTGACGAACAGCGCTGTCCCCTCCTCGGCCTGGGAGCCACGCGCGTGAGGAGACAAAAGAGGGTCAGGGGGGAGAAAGTCACCCAGACCCAGTGGCCCCGCCCCACCCCTCACAGCAGCGAACCTGTTCTCCTTGGGGGAGGCACGGGGACAGTCAAAAGGGGCGTCCAGGACACGGATCCCCAGCGCGCACCCACGGGAGGGGCCCAGACAGCTGCAAAGTTAAGTCGGGCCCGGGTGCTCGAGTTCGCGACCCCGCGGGTTGCCGCGTTGGGCCGGGACTGGGCGGCCAGCTTTGCAGGCGGCCTCAGGCCCAGAGTGGGGTTGGACTGCTGGCCAGGGCGCCACCGCCTCGCCAAGCCGGGCTCTGGGGGAGACCCGGGACGGCCCCTGCCCGGCAGGGTCCGAGGGCTCCACTCGGAACAGCCTCGGGACCCGCGTGCAACAATGAGCGGAGCCGAGGCCAGGTCGCGCCGTCTGCCCGGGAGCCCCGCCGCAGCGCAGACTTTGTTCGAGGTCCCGCAAGCAGCGGGCGCCCGCGCCACGAGGGCTGGCCCGAGGACCGTGAGGGGGCCGGCGGGGCGGCGCGGCCCTCCTTACCGGTCGGGTAGGCGGCGGGAGCGGCGGCCGAAGGTTTCCTGGTTAACATGGCCGCTGGAGAGGAAAATGCATTTCAGGGCTGCCGTCTCCGCCGCCGCCGCCCGTCCTGCTGCTACTTCTCGCGGCCACCGCCGCCGCCGCCTCCTGGTCGCCCTTCTCGCAGATCCCCGGCGCCTCTTCGCCGTCTCGCGTCAGCTACTGCCAGACACACACAGTCCGCTGCATCCCCTCGGCCCGGGCCCGCCGCCCCGAGCCCCCCGCTCTCCTCGCCGCCGCCGTCCTCCTCTTCCTCGGGCGGCTGCAGCACCCCCTTGCCCGTGCACATGCCTCGCCCTCCCCTGCGCCGCTGGCTTCCCCGGGTCCCTCACATAGGGCGCGGGGGAGCGGGCTGAGCCGCGAGGACCGACTCGCTCTGGAGCCTGCTGCCCAGCTCGTGCGCGCGCGCTCCCGCGGACACTCGCCCAGGCGCCCGCTCGTGGTTCGGCAGGGGAGGGCAGCCCCGCCCCTGCTCCCAGTTGCCGCGGGTGCAGGTCCCGCCCCGGACTCCCCCCAGCCGAGCCACACACACTCATGCACACCCCACCCCCACCCTGCCACCCACAGGAGTCCCTCCCCCCACTCAGTCATCTGCATGGCCACCCCTCCACTCCCCGGAAAACTCTGCGGCCTCGGCTCGCCCTCCGCCTCCCCATTCGGCCATCTGCACCGGCTCCCCTCTGCTCCCCTACTGACGACCTTTTCCCCACCCCTGCCTCTCTGGCCCCTGCAGCACCCCCTCCCTTCCTACAGCGCAACCTACCGCTGCATCCCTCCCACCAAAATCGCTGCAGAGACCCCTTCCCTGCCGTGCGCGCCCCCAAATACAAACGCATTTTCAGCTTTCAAACCTAATGGCTGCTCACACACAATACTGTCCCCCTCCCTTGTCCCTTTGGCTTAACCACCCCCTCTCCCCAATTTATCATGTAAATAACTTAGTTGTGCGAGGGTCACCTCTGTAAGTCTAGCCCCGTGGCGGGTCGCAGGTTAGCCTGGTGGCCCCCGAGCGTGGGCGAAGGAGGGGGCTGCCCTCCCACCTTCACCTCCACCACACACCCCCTCCCGATTTACAGACGCCAAATGACCGCTCTCCAGTCGCTAGGACAAGGGGAGGCAGAAAGGCGCGTGTGGACGGCTGCTGGAGAAGCAGTTGGCTGTGGGTTGCTAGGCAAAAATAAACATCAGACACACCTCGCATTTCCTTACAACTCAGAGCCTTTCCCCAGCGTGGCCACAGGGAGAGAGGCACACCTTCCTTTAAGCTTGCTGCCCTAAGGGAAGCCACCCCTTTAATTCCTCTGATCCCCAGAGACTAGTCTCTCTCCCCTTCTCTTCCAAGACACGTAGAGAATTCCCCTGCCCTTTTAACTTGCTATCTACCACCCCGCCCTCCTTTGCAGACGGAAACACTGCTGGCCCATCTCACACCGGCGCCCCTTCATGTATGGAGCATATGCCTTTGTCCAAAGGTCACAGTGGGGAAGGCAATTCCTGATGACTCGGCTAAAAGCTATGTCATGCGCTTCCTTCCCGAGGCGCGCCAGGTTTCTGAAGTTCTCCTGGGCACCTGTGTCCGTTATGCTCTGTCTCTGGTATCTCCCGGCGCCTGGGGAGACCAAGTTTGCCGGCCTGAACTAGTGCAGATTCAAATCAGAAGGCCACCGCCTGCGGAGTTCCATCGTCCCTACTGTTTGCAAATTGTCATAGCAACCTCCCAGAGAGATCACCCTCAGCTTTGTACATATACCCAAAACGGAGAATTTCAAAGGTAAAGCGCGACCCTCCCAGAGTCTCCAGGGCTCCTACAAGGACATTAAGGATAGGGGGCATTGGCAGAAAGAACAGGTGTCAAAGAGTACGATTTTGCCTAGTAATAAGTACCTCCAAAAAATCCTCCTGGTGATTTCTAATAAGGTAGAACCACATTGAGAAAATCAATCCAATAATATGCCTTTAGAAGAATGATGACCTGATTTGGCCCCAGAAAGAAATACTCCCCTTTGCTTATCATCAGGGACTATCACACTCAAATTCCCTTGGGGAAACATATTTAAAGTTCAGAATTAACTAAACCAAAAGGTGCTACTCCGTAGCAAAGATGAAGTTAGAACCCATTTCCTGACTCCCAGTGTAATTTCACTATGCTTTCTAATACACCGCCTTGGATTTTTAAGAACCTCACACCACTTTTTCTACTTTCCTATTCAAGACAATTATTTTCATACTATTTTCCTTTTTTTTAAGTACTTTATACAAATGATGTTCAAATTACGAAATTGAAGCAAAAATTTAATTTTAATATAACCTGATGCCTCTTCTCACTTAAATTACTCTTATAGTACTTCAGTAGAAGCTAAATATGCTACAGCTTTTTTCATGAATAATTGCTAACTACTGGAAGTCATAGTTTGTGAAATCCAAATTAGTTATACTAATCTAGACATTAAACATGAAGACAAGGAACACTGACGTTTTTGTTTTACAAAGGGACACAAAAAATCGTTAACTTTAATCAAACAAAAAAAGAACACATGTTTAAGGAATTTTTCCTACTATATTTAAGACATTATAAGTATAATTTCAAGATATATATATATATATATATATACACACACACACACACACACACACACAGTTTCCAGATCTATATGTATATCTATATCTATATATGTTATACACAGTTTCTGACCTTAAGGAAAATCTTCAATTAGTCTAATCTTTGACTATTTTAATTATAAATGGCATACCTCTCAAGATTATATTCTTACTGACTAAATATTAGTATTTACAATTACTTGGATTTCTCCATTCTGAGAAATATTGATGGCCTCACCCTAAATGAATGTCAAATAGAAAGAAGTACAAATGTGCTCTCTGAGCTTCCAAAAAGAGTGAACTGGGTAAACTCTAAGAATTATTCCCCTCAAACTTTATTATTTTAATACATTATTATTAATTCATACTGTACATTTATCTCTTTATAAACCCTTTCACCAATACCATCATGTGTAATCTTTTCAACACATGACCGGACCAGAACTGTATTGATGTTAAATAGTAACCTCCTCACTGTGAGCTCCATTCAGTTAGAAAGAGCCTGCTCTTCGGTTCTTGCCTCTTGTAAAAACTCTATCTGTTCTGTATATTTATAAAATCCAGATTCTGCCACATCCTGCCTACCTACTTGTTAGGTAAGAAGAACGCGGCAGAGTTGGAGATAAAGAAACTTTGAGGAACTCAGTATGGCGACTTGTAGAAGGAAGTCGATTTTCCACTAGGAAAAGTACTGATCACAGAAAAAACATCGGAACTGAACAAGAAAATTGCTGGTCTCAAAACACACTCAGTCATTTAATTTCTTTATCCCAGAAATATTTACAGAGAATTTAGTATGTGCTAGGCCTAAGGGATATGATGATTCTATCAGATGTAGTGGGCTAGTCTTCAGTCCGGCAATCTATTAGAACCTCTTTCTTTAATTAAGCAATAAATAGTAAGCACTTAATCTATTTTTGATATTATTAATATGGGGGCTACACAGTTAATAAATAATTCCTGGCTCTGATCATTGTTATTAAGAATTTGACAATCCAGTAAAGAAGACAAGACATTTAATGATTCGATGGGGCAGAAATCAAGGCACATAGGAGGTGCAAGGGTGGCATCAGGAGGGAGCAGTGAACTCTCCTTAAGTGGCGCCTGACATCAAAGGAACTGTGGTTTTAAAAATGCCGGAGTGTTTACCAGTCAGACAAGCCAGGCTAGGACATTCCAGGCAAAAGAGGACTGTGGTGGCCCCTTGGTATAAGAAAGCTCAGTGTATTCTGGGAGAAGGATAAGAAATTCAGAATAGAGGAAACTTGAAGTGGGAGGGAGAGGTGTGGTACTGCTATTTTTACAAGGTTAGGATTATGGATGATAGGTTAAGAATTATTTGAAACTTTACCAGCTGTGGAAATGTAAAAATAAGGCACAAGTTCTCTTAAAGCAACTTGGAAAATTACTAAGGAACTGACTCATCTTGGGTAATATAGACTTGTGGGTACGTTGTGCCTAACTTCTCTTTGGAGAATACTATTTACCGATGGTATCTTCCATGTGTCCATTGCCAAGGTCCACAGCCACCTCGAGAAGAACGTGAACCCCAAGCCCTGAAGTCTATGAATTATCCTCCTCAGATGTAGGGGGCATGGATGTCATAACCAAATTGCCACTACGTATTGCATTTGCCTCTGTGGCCACTACTGCTGGTGTGGAAGTCAGAAAAGATTTCTATACCACTAGAAAGTTGGTGATCGGAAGTGTCTGGACCTGTTGCTCGTTATTTGGTCCGAGTACTTACAAAGGCAATTTTCTTAATCCTAGGTGAGGGAGAGTGCATTTGTGTCCTTAGGTAAGCTAGGTAACTGGAACCATTAGGGATATTGTCCAGTGTTTCTTGGTGACAGTTCATCCACTTTTTCCAGCTGCACCCTAAGGGCAGAGTTAATGTTAAAAACCAGTATATACAAAAAACAGAAAGCTACATCCCTGGAGGTGGGGAGTGCTTTGATAAAGAGCCCGGGTAGGACCGCTACTCAAACACTACCTTCGATACTACCAGGACAAATATGAACATGGCGCCAGGTGTGACCAGGAGCTTCAGAGGAACAGAAATGGCATGCCTAGGCAAGGCCCCCAGCAGCAGACCCCCAGACCAGCACTCCCATGGTAGTGGACACGCCACTGGCAGAACTCACAGAGCAGTTGCCAGCGGAGCCAGTCTCCAAGAAACAAGCCTGTGAGGCTGCACTCGGAGCAACTAGCCAGGAACAGGCTGATCCCCTGGCACCTGAAATCATTCAGGGCCCTGCACCCAGTGAGGAATGAATAGGTAATAGTGCTAACAAACTCTGGGAGCAACCATCTACTGGGACGTTTGCCGTTAAGAGAAACTGTGGTGCAATTCTGCACACCAGGGAAGGATAGGGGGAAAGGGGCCGTGACAGGTCTGGAGATATTTGATGCCACTCTAACCAATAGTAATGCCATCTCTAGTAGCTCAGGAGGAGCAAATGGGAAGCAGAAGGTGTGAGCACTGTGAGGACTGCGCTGGGCGCTGCTGGGCACTGCTGCTGGTTTGTCTTAGCACAGACGCAATGCAAACTTACTGCATGGAACTGAACTGATTTTAGCCAAACGTAGACTAAGAGCAAGCATCCACATCAAACTGTCAGGACTGCCCATAAACAATGAAAAGGGACTCAACTTCATTTTATAAATTACATATTAAGATATCAACTCCATATTATATTACCTATAACCCTTTTTTTCCATATAGATATAGATGTATAACCAATTATCAAGTTCCTTCTATGTGTCAGACATTGATCTAGATGTTTGAAACAAAGCAGATAAAGTCCTTGCTCCATG